GGACTTCCAATTGGGTAGGAGCGGGTATTGAGTTGAGCAGCAGCATGTATAATGGAGGGAGAAGGGGAGGTGGAGGGTTGGCTCAGCTCGAAGATCAGGCTGCACGTACAAGGGCGATGCAAAGGCCAAAGTAACCCTCCGACATTGGGCCTTTACCTGAAAAAAAAGTATTGCAGCATAGTGCTTTACCTTAGCAATTCGATTCTCGTTGTTTTAATGCTTGCATTCTCTCGTGTCGAATTAGTGCTCTAACCATCTTGTCAACTGTTCTCAAGTCAACACTTGAATTAATGGCAAATAAATGGCTGAATGAGTAGTATAAATACTTTATCTTTTAGGAGAATGCTTTTGCTGCCTTTAGTCCTTACTTCAAAAAACAATTTCACCCACTGAATCTATTGTCTCGTCATTAGGCCCATGGTGTCAGCAGATTAGGCGCGAAATTTTTATTCAAAATAGGCGTGATAATTAATAACTGCATTATTTTTACAGACAAGCCTATTTGAGAAGTTGTTAGCTCCACCCGGAGTCGTAATATGCGTTACTCTACGCATGGCCTAAGAGCTCTGTGTCAGCTCCAGGATGTAATGACACAAGTTTAAATTGCCATCTTACACCCGGATGCCCTTCCATTATTAGCAAAACAGTTCATCAAAACGCGGAGTCCCTAGTATTGTTCCTCTTTTTTGTGAGCTGAGTGTGTAGCATTCCTTGTAGCTAAAAAAATGACGTTGATGGATTGAAAACTGCAGCACAGAAGGACACTGTTGTTAACTTTTTTTCTTCCAATCACAAAAAACCAGTGCTTTCACCTTCCATTGGTTACGCCTCCCTATAAGATGTCGAATGCTGCCTCCAATAGCTTGGGCCAACACTAGTACCATGCTACTGGGACACCTGGATGGAGCCGACCTCGGTGTTCTTTGCTGTTACTTCATAATTGTTTTTGCCGTGGGAATTTGGGTAATGCTTCATTCCACGCCTTGAGCCTTGATGAACTAGTCTTCGTGTCGAAATCGAGGCAGTGTCAGCGGCTACTTCTTGGCAGGTCGCTCAATGCATTGGATACCGGTAGGTATTAATTAACACTGTATTGGTGCCTCCAACGTCAGGTGGGCGCCTCTTTATTTGCAAGCAACATCGGTTCGGGCCACTTCATCGGACTGGCTGGCTCGGGTGCCTCCAGTGGCATTGCAATTGCCATGTTTGAGTTTAATGTAAGCATATCAGGTCAAAATGGACATTCTTTAAGGCCTGCTTTGTACTTGCTATCCTCGGCTGGCTATTTGTACCCGTGTACATCGTATCTGGCGTAAGACCGACTGCACTTTTTTAATCACCCTTCTCCGCAGATTGTCACGGTCCCCGAATACCTCTGTAAGCGACTAGGTGGTCAAAGAATTCGAGTATACTTGTCCGTAGTTGCTCTCCTTCTCTACATTTTTACCAAGATCTCGGTACGACTTCCTTTCCAGTATGCCAACAGCCTTTAGGCTGACTTATATGCAGGAGGTATTTTTATTCAACAAGCAATGGAAATCTCCATCTACCCTGCGGTAATTTTACTCCTCATAATCTCAGCGCTTTTTACCATTATGGGAGGTTTGACTGCTGTCATTTGGACGGACTTTGCTCAAACCGTTATCATGGTTATTGGTGCCTTTTACCTCTCCATCAGAAGTAAGTTACCGTTGCCTTCTTCTTCATCTACAATCCCACAACAATCCCAAAATCCAAGCCGTTCACCCTCCGCCAGGCCTATACCTAGTGGGAGGTTTCGAATCACTGTTAGTCAACTACTTCAATGGCATTCCAAACACCACACGAGCGTATAAAAGCGTGTCCTTCAATCCTGGAAATCATTCATTGACCTCTCTAAATCCTGACCTCTACGGTGATAATGAGGATCGTGAAAAAATTCGTCTAATGGCCGGCTCTGCGGCGACTGGCGTTGGCATGTATGCGGAGTGTCAGATACCTGCAGTTGACGCAATGAACTTCTTCAAATCAGTCTCCAGTCCCGATCTCCCCTGGACTGGAGCGGTGTTTGGTCTCACCATTAATGCTGTGTGGTATTGGTGCACGGATCAGGTTAGATGCACCTTTGACCCTTGCCTCACTACTTTATTTAGGTGATTGTCCAACGAACTTTAGCTGCTAAGAACCTCTCGCATGCCAAAGGCGGTATTATTCTAGCCGCTATCATAAAAGTTCTTCCCCTCTGGCTTATGGTTGTGCCAGGCATGACAGCTCGAGTGCTCTTTGCAGGTAGGCGTGAGGTGATCGAGTTATTCCGTCCCCTTTGCTCTGCGTAGAC